GCTAGTAAAATATGAATTCATAGTGTCTCCTTAAAAACGTTGTCCGGACTAATTGTCTAGTCATTCTATTTTCCTGTGTCAGTTACTCTGCATTTGCAAACGCTTTCTCAAAAAGCCACGTCTTGATTTTTTCCGGAATGTTAAAAGGAAGATGGCAGATCTAATATCTATAGGGTTCCACAGCCAAGGGGCCACCACTGAGAATACACTGTCTCTCGTCTCCATCAAACGTACTTGCGACAAAGGCGGTAACAACAGCAAGGCCTCCCCAGATGATCTTAAGGTTCTAGATCAGTTTCTCAACCTTCTGAATGCCATGAACCCTTAACACGGTTCCTCATGGTGTGGTGACCCTGAACCATAAAGTTATTTCCATTGCTACTTCATAACTGCAATTTTGCTACTGTTATGAATCGTAATGTAAATATCTGATATACAGGATGTATTTTTATTCACTGGACAAAATTTGGCACAAATATCAAATACGACCAAATTTTAATACTGGGGAGGGGAGGATTGATTTTCTTATTTGGGAGTTGTAGTTGCTGGGATTTATAGTTCACCTACAATCAAAGAGCATTCTGAACTCCACCAACGATGGAATTGAATTAAATGTGGCACACAGAACTCCCATGACCAACAGAAAATACTGGAAAGGTTTGGTGGGCATTGACCTTGAATTTTGGAGTTGTAGTTCACCTATATCCGGAGAGCACTATGGACTCAAACAATGATGGATCTGGACCAAACTTGGCACGAATCCTCAATATGCCCAAATGTGAACACTGGTAGAATTTGGGGAAAATAGATTTTGACACTTGGTAGTCGTAGTTGCTGGGATTTATAGTTCACCTACAACCAGAGAGCATTCTGAACCCCACCAATGATAGAATTGGACCAAACTTCCCACACAGAATCCCCATGACCAACAGATAATCTTTGGCGACCTCTCTGACACCCCCTTGCGACCCCTTCAGGAGTCCCGACCCCCAGGTTGAGAAACACTGTTCTAGATCGTTCATAAGATGCATTCAGACATGTAAGTTAGGCCAGAACCACTTAGGGCTTTATAGGCTAAAGCCAGCACTTTGAATTGTGCCTGGTAGCAAACTGGCAGCCAGTGGATGTCTGATATCTGGAAACCCATCCAGAACAATGAAAAAAAGCTCTAGCCAGCTGCTTTCTGAGTCACGGCAATACAGGAGTGGGAGGAAAAGAGAGAGACGGCACAAGGAACTGCCTGCTGATGCCCACAGAACTGGATTCTGCAAAGCCCACAGCAGCCATTATGCTGAAAAATAGATGACGGTAATGGAAAATAAAATCTCTCTGAGCAGTCTGTGTGATCTTTGCTGAGACTCAGGAAAAGTCACAGACATGGCGTTTTTAGCAAGACGAGAACAGGCCTCGTGATTTAATAGGAGAACGATGCAGGCATCATCAGATTGCCCAGCTGGGTGGTCAAAACAAAATAAGAAATGGATTTGAAAGAGGTGGTACTGCAGAGATGGTGCCATGCTTACAAGGCAAATGGGAAAGAAGGGGAAATCTTTAGGGACCCATTGTCAAAATTTGACGAGTGGGAAAAGACAGCAAGTTCCGTGTTCTTTAAAAGCAAAGTAGAGAAAGTCTGGCCGGACCTCTGATCAATATTTGATGACTTTAAGATGATATTCATAGCTTGAAAAACTTAACCATCCTCAACAGCTGAGAGAACAGATTAAAAAGCATCTCGGAATATAAAAGGGGATAGATTTATAGTAGCTTTCCCCTCACCGGAACATGGTGACCTCAAAGTTGTACTGGACTTCTATTGGAAATTCCATAGCCGCTTGGAAATAACTGCACTATAACCTTATGGAAAAGGTAAAAATGATGTCACGTCCTTTTGACAAATGTGAATCTCTATGAACATGTAGACACCCCCTTTTGAAAACCAACAGGATGTTGGCCTGCATCAATAGGAATCTAGTGTCTAGATCCAGGGAAGTCATGCTCCCCATGCTCTATTCTGCCTTGGTTAGACCACACCTGGAATACTGTATCCAATTCTGGGCACCACAATTGAAGGGAGATGTTGACAAACTGGAATATGTCCAGAGGAGGGTCACTAAAATGATCAAGAGTCTGGAGAACAAACCCTATGAGGAGCGGCTTAAGGAGCTGGGCATGTTTAGCCTGAAGAAAAAGCTGAGAGAGGAAGTCACAGGGAGGAGGGAGCAAGCTTCCTTTCTGCTGCCCTGAAAACTAGGACACAGAACAATATGGGGGGGGGGGGCAGGGGAAAGTTCAACCTTGTCTCAAGGCGGCTTACATCTCAGAAGGATACCGTGGTCGACGGCCTTCGATACCGTCGACCACGGTATCCTTCTGAGACGCCTCGCAGGAATGGGCCTTGGTGGCACTGTTCTGCAGTGGCTCAGGTCCTTCCTAGAGGATCATACTCAGAAGGTGTTGCTGGGGGACAACTGCTCTACCTCACAACCTTTGTCTTGTGGGGTTCCTCAGGGCTCAATATTGTCCCCCATGTTATTTAACATCTACATGAAGCCATTGGGAGAGATCATCCGGAGTTTCGGGGTGCGGTGTTATCTGTACGCAGATGACGTCCAACTCTGTCACTCCTTCCCACCTACTACTAAGGAGGCTGTTCAGGTCCTGAACCGCTGCTTGGCCGCTGTGTCGGACTGGATGAGGGCTAACAAATTGAAACTGAATCCAGATAAGACAGAGGCACTCCTGGTCAGTCGAAAGGACGAACAGGGTATAGGGTTACAGCCTGTGTTAGACGGGGTTACACTCCCCCTGAAGACGCAGGTTCGCAGCTTGGGTGTGATCCTGGACTCTTCGCTAAGCTTGGAACCCCAAGTTTCGGCGGTGTCCAGGGGAGCATTTGCACAACTAAAACTTGTGCGCCAGTTGCGCCCGTACCTTGGGAAGTCTGACTTGGCCACGGTAGTCCACGCTCTGGTTACATCCCGGATTGATTACTGCAACGCGCTCTACGTGGGGTTGCCCTTGAAGACTGCCCGGAAGCTTCAGATGGTCCAGCGCTCGGCAGCCAGGTTGCTAACAGGAGCGGCACTCAGGGAGCATACCACTCCTCTGTTGAGCCAGCTCCACTGGCTGCCAATCTGCTACCGGGCACAATTCAAGGTGCTGGCTTTAGCCTATAAAGCACTAAACGGTTCTGGCCCCACTTACCTCTCCGAACGCATCTCCACCTATGAACCAACTAGAACATTAAGATTGTCTGGGGAGGCCCTGCTCTCGGTCCCACCTGCGTCACAGGCGCGCTTGGCGGGGACGAGAGACAGGGCCTTCTCAGTGGTGGCCCCTCGGCTATGGAATGCCTTACCGGCAGACATCAGACAGGCACCTTCGTTGCTGGCGTTTCGGAGAAAGGTTAAGACCTGGCTTTATGAACAAGCGTTTGGTTAAGCAGTGCAACCAATCAAAGGAAGACGGTAAATGGAACATAGGAATGGCACAAGGATTATGAGAACGGATCTGATTTCACTGAGGCGTTTGTTTTGTTTTGTTGACTTGTCTTGATTTGATTTGTTAATTGTTGTGGATTGATGTTGTTGTTCCTGTTTGTTGCATTTGCTGCGTTTTAATTGCACTGACATTGTTTGATAATTTGTACCATGTAAACCGCATTGAGTCGCCTGTTTGGGCTGAAAAATGCGGTATAGAAATAAAGCAAATAAAATAAATAATAATAATAATACATGAGGCCAAGCCCAGACAACATATTACAGCAAAATAAAACCAAAAACATAAGCAACAAGCAACAGCATCATAATTACATTAAAACATATGAATACAATAACAATATAATATTACAATAAATACAATGTAATGTATGATATACAATTATTATTTTTTGTGAAAGATTTGACTCATTGCAAATTCCTCTGGTGAGGAATTTGTTGTTTCTCACCGTGATTTTCTTCATATCTAGCTGTCGGAGCTGCATCATATGGTGGAGAACGGTTGGCTTGTACCATGTCTCCAGCGCTATGGGGTTGCCATCTAAGGTGATCTCTGAAAGGGATGTGGAATCCTCAAGGCACAGAACGTCATCGAAACTGGGGCAAAAGAGAGGAGCAAACACAGAGGAAATTAATAACAAAAATTTATGACAAGTTATTGGAATGGTCAACTGAAACTGAAGTTATAAAAAATTGTATGATTAGATGGGCAGAAAACTTAAGGAGACCCATCAAATTAAAAGAATGGGAATTAATATGGAATAAAAAAATGAAATACACATACGCGAAAGATTTTAAAGAAAATTGGCTCAAAATGTTCCATAGGTGGTATATTACTCCAAAAAAATTAGGCTTAATGTATAAAAATATAAGCCGAGAGTTACTCTGGAGGAAATTTTTGAAGTCCAACATAGATAAAAGACTCTTAGCTCTTATGATTGCTCTTTATGATGACTCCTCAGTTAAAGTGAGATTAGATAACAGTGGGGCAGTCTTCAGTGGAATACCTACAACTAGGGGCGTGAGACAGGGATGTTTGTTGGCTCCGTTCTGTTTTAATTTTTATATTAATGATATTGTGGAATATTTGAATATGAAAGAATGTCACAGTCCAAAGATTATGGATAGGGAGACAAATATCTTGATATACGCAGATGACATAGTATTGTTATCCACTACCCCAGTCGGGTTAAGGAGGTCCCTGCAAAAACTTAGCCAATACTGTACTGAAAATGCCCTCACTATAAATAAAGGAAAATCCAAAATAATGATTTTTGGTAAGAAAACTAAGGCTTCCAACTGGCACCTTGACGGGCACAAAGTGGAGCAAGTGAGGACATTTAAATACTTAGGTCTTC